GCCCACTTACTCTGCTCAATTTCTTCTTCTGCTCTTGCACTCTCAGAAGGGTATACTTAAAGAGCTGCCAGCTCTGTTATGTACCTATGCTCTTAAGGACAGTTTCCCAGAAGATCCCACTCAGCAGTTCCTTGAAGTTTGCTCTCCTGAAGTTCAAGGTCCTGACTCTCATTTTTGCCAGTTCTGCATTCCTGAAGATTACAAACCCCACCAGGATATGATTGCCGCAGACCAGGCTGCCTCCAGTCTTAGCTTTCTAATGCTTTCCTTCCTGGTGCATTGGTGAGCACCAGGTCTAGTAAGGCTTCACCTTGCTTTGGTCCGTCTATTACCTGGATCAGGAAGTTATCCTCAAAGACTCTAGGAATCTCCTGGATTGTCTGCCACCCACCGTGCTGCTATCCCACCAGATATCCGGGTGATTGAAATCCCCCATCAGGTCAAGAGCCTGCGAGTGTGAGACTTCCTGCAGTTGAAGCAAGAAGGCCTTGGCAACAGGCTTCCTTGATCAGGTGGCCTGTAGCAGACCCCAATCACTAGATGTCCTTTGCTGGACCGATCCTTGATTTTAAACCATAAGCTCTCAACCTGGTCATGGCTCTTACTCAGAAACAGCTCTTAGCAGTCTATCCACTTAACATAGAGGGCAACTCCCCCTCCCCTCCTACCAGTTCTTAGGCTTTATTTTGTTTTCTGCTGGTCTTTTACTTTCAAGCTTCTTAATTGGTGGATCTTGTTGTGTTGCATGTATAAAGTACATATCCAACTGCCTTGAAATAGTGTCTTATGTCCACTTTGTTTCATCCAGCCTGAATTTCTGCATATTTTTTGCATTTATATTCCATCTGTCTTGGTAATTTTTTCCACAGCACTTTGTCATTCTATTCTTTGTTACCCAGCTCATCTTGGATTTATAGTAGCTGTAAATGAATTATCTGAGAAGATGGAGCCGTACTTGCAGTATTTACAAAGAGCCCATCCTTCTTACATATTTAATTTAAGTGACCTGCTCATGCAGTCAGGATTGTCATACTCATAAGATATGCAAAAGAGATTTTTCTACAGGTCAGCTTTGTAGATAACTAGGGCTTCTTCCAGAGTTTATTCTGTACTCATAAATGAAATTAGACATCACTGACAGTTTTCTTGGGCTTAGAACTGCTGGCACCTAATAAGCTTTCTTCTCCAGAACAGAGTAGATGCATACATTTTGTGTGTTAATAATTGTGTGGTCACCTTCTGAATTTTACCTGGAAATTCCTGAGTTTAGTTGCCATGGGTCAAATCTCTGCAGTATTGTGTTCATCACTGGGGCTCCCAGCACAAGAAGAACATGGAGCTGTTTGTGAAGGTCCAGAGGAGGGTCATGATGCTGAAGCACTGCTGCTGTGAATGCAAGCAAGGGGAATTGGAGTTGTTCAGCCTGGAGAAGAGGAGGCTCTGCGGAGACATCATTACAGCCTTTTATTCCATGCAGGAGACCTAAAGATGGAGACTTTTTGCAGGGATATATATTGACAGGAGAAGGCATAATGGTTTTACATTGAAAGAGGGTAGATTTAGATTAGACATAGGAAGAAATTCTTCACTTTGAGGGTGTGATGAGACACTGAAATGGGTTGTCTGGGGAAACTGTGGGTGCCCCATTTTTGGAGATGTTCAAGATCAGGTTGAATGGGGTTTCAGATAACTTTGTCTATTGGAAGGAAGTGCGCACGACAGTTTATGAGGAGGGATACTGACAGGACAAGGGAGAATGGTTTTGAACTAAGACAGGGGAGGTTTAGGTTAGATATTTGGAGGAAGTGTTTCACCCAGAGGGTGGTGACACACTGGAACAGGTTGCCCAAGGAGATTGTAAATGCTTCACCCCTGGAGGCATTCAAGGCCAGGCTGGCTGTGGCTCTGGGCAGCCTGGTCTAATGGTTGGCAACCCTGCACATAGCAGGGGGATTGAAACTGGATGATCATTGTGGTGCTTTTCAACCCAGGCCATTCTTTGATTCTTTAATTTCTTTGATTCTTTGACAGTGTCCCTTCCAGCAGAGGGCTGGAGCTAGATGACCTTTAAGATCTTTTCCAACTCAAACCATTCTGTGATTCTCTGATCTTTCTTTAAAATTAAAAGTTTATCATAATACTGTTTGGGTTTTGATCTGGATAGTCCCCGTTTATGTTTGTGTTTTACCCTGAATCTGTTTCAGATATTATGCTTTAGTGAGAGAAATTGTTTTAGGTATTTATAGACTTGCTCTCTCCCACATTTTGCATGAAACTGAAAGAAAGAAGGAGCAAGAGTTTTTCTTCTAGAGGGAAGCTTTCTAGAGCCATGTGATGAGTGTGACAACTCCCACAGTGTATGTAATGACTGTGCATCTTACTGATCAAGAGTTACTGGTGGAAAAAAGCCCCTCTCTTTGTACTATTTTCTTCATTTAAGATTTGAAAGCAAGCGGTATAGACAAGAGCCAGCTAGATTGATGGTTCTTTTGCCTTCAAATTCTGTGAAAATAAAAAATGTTGTATCTGTTGGATCTTCATTGTTAAATGGATTCCTTGATAATTCAAAGTAAAGTGGTGGAAGTGGTGTAAAAACCCAGAAAGACAAACTAGCGTGATTTTTTTGAATCACATAGATTAGCAGGTCGAATTGAACATTTCAGTACATGAAAATGATACCATCTTTAGAAAAAATTGCAAGCTGAAGCTAATGAAAGGGAAAAAAGAAAAAAAAAAAACACACAGAACTTGAAGAGAATGGTGCAGGTGGACTTTGAAAACTTAGATATTTTTTCTTTCTTTTGAGAATGAAGAAGAGAATGTATGAATGCTGCCTAGATGAAGCCTAATTTATTGTATATTAATTCTGTTAAATTGTTTTTTTGAATATCTAATCAAACCATAATTAGAATACTGTTACTCTCTGGGATTGATCTTGCAAAAATATCTTACTGACTGGAAAATAAAATATATTGTTAATTTTATTTAATTATCCTAATTTAAGTTTCATTATCATCAAGCTTTCTTACAAAAAATATAAAGCAGAATATTCACTAGCCGCCACAATGAATCAGAAGGATTTGGTCTTTGTTTTTCAAAAGTGTAAGAGAAACAAAGGATTTAATTCATGTCTTACGCTCTTATCAGCAATATATTTTGAAACTTAATTGAATGTGAGGAAATACCTTCTGCTTTATACCTACGTGAGAGTAAGCAGATGGAGGCCATAAGGGTAAATTTTCAGCTCCACTGAAGTCAGTAACAGCTTTTTATTTGAGTATTGGAACTGGCCTTCTTCTTAAATATCCATTTTATCGAAGGAAACATGGCATTAATTGATTTTTTTTCTATTATTGTTCACTATTAAAAAGCATGAGAAGAACAGTAACTGCTGTGAATTGCACAGACTTTCTGGTGTTGAATATTCTAAACTCCCTTTTAAGAGAATTCAGGCAAATGTGAATTTTCTCATTAAAGAATTCTGATCCGTGTTTGCTTTGACGAATCATTTTGCATGAACTTCAAAAGCGCTAGGTTCAGACTCTGTCCTAAATGAGTTAGTTCTAAATTTGTTTCTGTATAGATATTAAAGGCAGAAAATGCTCAATGAAGTCTTTCTTTGTTGTGCTTCAGCTTTGTAACATACAAAACCTAACTGTATTCTGACACATTCTGTATAACAATGCTGATCTGAGTGCAGTCCTTTCCAGAAACAGCAAATGGGACATCAGTGAGGGCTTTATGTTGCATTTAAGGTGACAGAGTTTGAGCCACTTTGGTGAGATCAGTGCATATGGAAATCTGAGTTGAAAATTAAAGCTTCATCCAGCAAACCGATCCATGTTTAGTACCTTTAAAAATCCCAGGGACTCCATATGGTCACAGCAGTCTACATGCACAGAGAATTTACTGGATTTGTTCCAAATTTTAAGCTTTGTTATTTTGTCCATGGATTTGGCTTACAGACAGACATTAACTCTGTTAACTCTGAAAGGTATTTATCTCATGATCTGGCTTCTATGTTATAAGCTTTTTGAAAACAGCACTTAGGTTACTTTTAACAGAAGTGGTCGGTGGTCTGGAAATAGTATATATTTAGGTTAAAAATTAAAGCAAAAAGATCTTATTGTCTTTGTTTTCTCTTGCCATCCAAAATAATGGGAATTTTTCTGGAACACACTGCAAGGAAATCAGAGTAAGTCCTAGAAATTCAAAGACATAATAAGAGTGTTCTCATATCACTAGCCGTATCATAGATTTGCATACTCAAAATACGAAGTTGTCATTCATGAATTATGACTGTTGCAGGACACACTTATTATGATTAGCTAAGTCTCTGAAGAAATTTGCATGTTAACTGCACAAAAGCTTTAGTTGCTTTATTTGATGGATCATATCTAAAATAAAGGAAATTTTCCTTTAAATATATTATTTAGTTTTTGGCAGAGGTGTGTTTTTCATTTTAGTTCATTGTAGCTTGCTCTTAGGACACATATAATCACTGTAAGAAAAAGAGATGAGAATTACAGTGCCAGTTCTTAAGATTTCCTCTAATGTTTGGTGTTATGATCAAAAGTTACTGTCTTCAGTTAGAATCAAAATCTAAATACTAGGACTTGCAATTAATACTGTTTGTTTTGAAGTGCAAGACTGTAGGGAATTCCAGTATGTTCAAAAAGTAGAAGTCAAGTGTTTTGAAGCAGTAGCAGTCCAGAGACATGCTTCTGTAACTTCATAACGCTGTGGTAGACTGCTTTATGGAGCTGGTGATTACAGAGATTCACTTCAACCATTTTTTTCTTGCTGGCAGGTGTCCCACTGGCCTGTAGCCAGCAGCTGCGAGTGCGCTGCAGCTTGTGGTTTACACCAGAGTGTAGAAAATGCCGACACCAGCTGGCTGCACATAATTAAGATGATTGCTGTCTGACAACTTGATCTATGATACAGATATGTGATAAATATACAAAATATTTTACAAATCTAATTCTCTGACGTATTTTATCTACTTTTTTCTCTTTAACAGATATGATATCTGCACTTATAAGAATAAACCATGTGGAACTCTGGGTAAGATAATAAATAGAAATTTCAGTTTGTATTTGAATTTGTTTCTTTGCTTTATACGCAGATGTTGATTTATTGACTGCTGAGATTTTTAAAGTTTATGTTTTCAAAATACTGTTTTATCGTTTTATAAATGTGAATAATAGGAGGTAATCTAGATGGGTATATGCTTTGATAGATCACTGGAAGTTTAAGTTAAATGAGCTGCTGATGGACGTCTCATCTCTGGCAGCTGTAATACTGCTAAAACCTAGAAGATTACTCAAATTTATGAAGCAGTAATTAGAGGAGAGAACTTACCATTTATTATCATTTAACCTCTTTCCGTGAGGTATTACAAAATACAAGTAGAAGACCTCAAGAACATTTTTAAAAAATCAAGCTAGGAAAGAAAAGGGCTTTAAGAGTTACACTGTTGCTCTGTTATTCTTGAGGTGCATTGCTTCAGACTTTTCCTTCCATGAACTTGGAAAAAATAACACTGTAATATAAATTGCAGTAATAGCGCGAAACTTCTTAGAAGCTTTGACAATGGAGAATCACATATAGAAATCCTAGGTGCAGGGTTGTTCATTCCTAAATTTGTCACCAAAAGTTGTTTACTGTAATATAGATATTACCTGTAGTAGTGCTTTAATGAATTAAAGATATGTTTTTCAAAGACTATTGTAATGTTTATGCATTTTTCAAATTTACTCAGAAGTAATTCAAGATACAATTCTAATTTTGCTAGTTCAGATTGTTAATAACGAGAGTTCATAACTGTATTTGCTTTGTCTTTCCCTGTAATACACTTGTGGCAAAGGAAATTAGTTTACATGAGGAGAAAGGTATCAATTTTTTCACCAATTGGAAATACAAAGTATGTTAACAGCATGTTTGAGTAAAAGGCAAAATATGATTATTAATTTCTAAATGTAATTGGCTTCTTTTGATACCTCCATGGAGGAGACAAAACTGAAGAGACTGTCTTCACTGATGTTGAGAAGTTGTCTTAGCAAGTGATAAGAGAATTTAAAAGGGAGAACATTCACTCACAAACTGCTTGATATTTATATGTGATATTTTTAATACAGGTCTTTAGTGTACTAGTCGTTTCTGTATAAGACGCAAAGCAAATTCTGCTTCAAAAATCAAATAATGTATTGTATCAAAGTACTGTTATGAGACCCTTGGCTCTAAAACTGTGACGGTGTACTTCCATTATAAGCACTGTACTGGAGAAGAGATAAAGCTCCATGGCCCTCTTTTGCAAGGCATTTAATACGCTCAGGTCCCACTGACCTCCAGTAACTAAAGCATCAGTTTAAGCTGTCTATGAACAAAACTCTCAGGTCTCAAAAGGTCAGAACAAATGTGAATCACTGGTGTTCCAGGAAGAAACAGAAGTGAAGGCTTTACAGAAGAACAGACATCTCTTTTCTGTTGTAGTTTCCTAGAACAGGGAATCTTACATAGAGCTGCACGGAGATAGAACTCAGATTTCTCTGCAGCAGTTTTTTTTCAGCAGAGAAGGCCCCTTCTCCTTTGATCTGAGCTATAGACTGTGTTCTTTACTTGATCTCTGTTACTTTCTGCAGGCATAGTACATAACTGTATGTTATTAGTATGGTCCAATAAGTCACTAAGCAAGCATTCAGTGAAAAAAATCTGAAGATAGAGATGACTTCACCACCCCAATATGGTGACTTTGCTGGGGAAAGTTGTTACAAAAGTATTACCATGTTATATTCAGAATTTGCTGCTCTGTTAGAATAGCATAAGTTAGGCATGTGAACTGTAATTATTCTATTTTCTACACAAAGCTTTGCACAAAGCAAGCAGTGTACACGCCTGTCAGTAGCTAGAGTTTTTAATTCTGATCCTGCTTTCAGTGCTTATGCCTGCTTCAGTGATTTGATTTAGAGTAGTCTGTTTTGATGGAAGTTCAACAAGCTGACATTATTGCCTTTTGCCCATGTTGCTTTGGTTATCAGAGTAGTTCCGTTGTGTGCTGACTTGATTTATTGCAGAGAAAAGCAAGTCAGAACATGTACTTCCCAGATATTCCTGTGTATGCCTAAGGGAGACTCTAAGGTCTAAATCCTAATGATAGCCTCTGACATTTTTTTCCTGTTGGAAATTTTGAACCACGTGTAATGTTAATGTTTGAGTTACAGAGGTAAAACTAGTATAGAGGAATATAATAAATAAATAGAGGAATAGCACTGAATGTCAGTGCTTTATTCTACCAACCAGCTCCTGTAGCTCCAGGTTACTTACTCACGTGGACTCAGCTAGGAAGCATTGCCATCTGATTGCTTGCTTGCTGGTAGTCCAAAAAGAATAATTTGAAGTGCCTACTCTTTCAAGAAGAGTATGTTTTTTTTTCTTTTTGCATAGCAAAGTCACGCTGTTCCCAGTTATTATTCTATCACAGTGTAGTTAATTTTGCAGGTAATTTCACCAAAAGAAAGGATTACTGCTTTTTTTCAGATAACCCTAGAAAGGGATATATCAAATAATGTGATGCTTAGAGATTTCTCTAGTGGGTAGCGTATTTTGTCTACAATATGTTGTGTGATACTCTATTTCTGAAGAATCTAAAAAATAATGAAGAACGATATTCTGGAAATGCCTGTGCCTTGCTTTCTTTAAAGAAAATTTTTAGAAACACTTGTCATATAGAAAGGTTTTAGTTCCAGAAGATAATAGAAGATAAATGGAAAAGACTTCCTTGTTTAAATGAACTTATTAACGTCTCCCCCTTCTCTTCATTGATGCATGCAGTTTTGTTTTTATAATTTTTTTTTAAGTACCATATGGTGCTTCTTGTAGCTAAAAAAGTTGCTTGTATGTTTTTATGAACCCACTAAACTTAAACAGATTTCTTTAGAAAAATAATGTGGATACATTTTGCTTTCTTCAGCCTCAAGAATGTTAAAATAGAAATGCTTTCTTGAATTCCCTTTTCTGGCTCAAGTTACTAGGTGGTCCCAAGTTACCAGAAGTAAAATTTATAAATCTAACCCCTAGTCTAGACATTTTCCAGCACTGACTGCAGTTCAAAAAATATTAATGTCTAGCCGGCAAAGTGAAATTCCCCCCAGTGATTTTGCAAATGACTAGAAAGTTAACCTTTTGCCAACTGCTCCTTCTGTGCATAGAGATTATTAAAAAGAATCCAGGCATTTATAACTAGGGCTTTTAAGACTGAAACACCTTGGCATGACCCTTTGTGTCTCCTTCTGTTTATTCAGGCTTGGCCTCTGTGGCTGGAATGTGTGAGCCTGAAAGGAGCTGCAGCATTAATGAAGACATTGGCCTAGGTTCAGCTTTTACCATTGCACATGAGATTGGTCACAAGTGAGTGAGTTTACAAAAAGAATATGTTTTAATGTATCATATTTTTACTATTAGTTTAATCATAGATATCATTTTTTCTGCATGGCTGTACCGTCCCTATTCTGGTGCTCCATGTTTCCGTATAAAGTATTCATAAGTAGCACTACCTTTTATTAATTATATTTTATCAAGAGCTTTAATTTTAGAACTGAAGACTTACTGTTTACCCTTTGATTTCAGATTCCAGTTTAATCTGTGCTATTGAGATTTGGCTCACAACCCTCCTACTGTTTCATATTTTTAATATTAGAGTTTGAAAAAAATTTCTTTGTCCCATCTCTTACTTGTCTACATTTCTTTATGAAGCGAAAGTGGTTTTAAGGTTCTTCTTTGCTTTTCATTATTTTGTCTTAAATACAATTCAAACTCTTTTAAATAAAACATTGCTTCTCTTGTCAGTATTCATACACTATCAGTCTTCTTTCATTCAAGCATGAGATGTATAAAAAAGCCATAACATCACTTGTGCATTTTAAACGTTAGTATATCACTCTGAAAAGCATGATGTTATGAGAATGATTAAGTATATGAATTATAAATTACGTAATTGGTTGTGAAGTACTCCAGGTCTTCCTTCAAAAGCAGGCCTTGCTAGCACATTGTGATGACTCTAAAAAGACTAGACACTTTCTTTTATAAAGAGGTTTTCTTTTTCCTTACATGGGTTGACCAACACTGAGTTTATAGGTCACATGTTTTTCCAATCATTACTTGATACAACTGCTGTAAGTTTAAATGCATATTGAAATGGAAGCTATCAATCTGCTGATAAAAAGCAGGATTGGAAGTAAACACTTATGTTTAACACCTATCGTGCAGGATAATCACTTGGCAAGTATGATCTCATTTACATTATGCAGTAATGTAATACTGCAGTTGCACTGAAGTGGATGAATTCTAAAATTCAAAAGCAATTGTATAAAATCCTAGCAAAAATAATATAACACACTTGTAATTTTTGTCATCATCATTTTCTTCCCTTTTTTTCTTTATTTGTGTGAGGTGAAAAAGGTAGAGGAAAATATATTTCTAATATTAAGAAACTAAAGTTCTTGTTAATTGTGATATGCAGTGTTGCTGTGAATTTAAGTCATGTGTTCAAGAAGAAAAAAATAACCATATCTTCGTTCTAATCTATATGTCATGTAACTATGCACTTTATTAAGGTTATTTCAGTGATACATGAAAAAATATATATATGCAGCTCTGTTATCATTCAAAGCTATCGGGATTACAACATTTGATTTATAGAACATAGATCTTAATTTAAGTAGTTAAGTTTAAAATCTTTGGTGATAGATGGAAAACTGCCATTAAAAGTTCAGCTCTGGATATGAGAAGAGCAGATTCAGGGAACTAGTTTAATGGTCCCATGGGAAACTGTTTTTGAAAGCATTGGAATCCGTCACTGCTTCACTTTTTAAGTACTAGCTGTGAGGAGCACAGGAACAGGCTATTCCAAAATGCTGGTCATCGTGCTTGGCTAAGAAAAGAAAGTGTATGGCCACTGGAAATAAGATTGAGTGAAATGGCAGGAATACAGAGATTCTGGCTGCTGCTGTAGGGAGAAAATTTGTGTGGTCAAAGCTCAGAGTTTAAGCCAGTCAGTACTGTGGAGGACACCAAAATAGAGCATTTTAACAGCAAATGGAGGACCAGAGATAACATTGGTCCATTACTTGGTTAGGTTGATCACTTCTCAAATAAGGTTTCAGACAAAGCAGAAAGGTATAATGCCCTTTTCAGCCCTGTCTTCAAAACCAGTGATAATGCCGTGGGGCCCTCAGACCCCCATTATGTAGGATGGTGCCTATGATAATTTTAAACTCCAGCACTGTCGTCTGCTTCATTGTCTTCCTCTGAAGGCTTTTAAGGACCTTAGCATCCTTTTTATATTATGGAGCTCAGAACCACACACAACATTCAACATGAATTGAATACAAACTGGGACATGACCTGCTGGAGAGGACCTGTGCAGAGAAAAACCTGGGGGTCCTGGTGGACGACAAGTTGGCCATGAGCCAGCAGTGTGCCTTGATGGCCAAAAAGGCCAATGGAATCCTGGGTGCATTAAAAGCATGACCAGCAGGTCAGAGGAGGTGATCTTCCCCCTCTATGCTGCCCTGGTCAGGCCTCACCTGGATTACTGTATCCAGTTCTGGGCTTCCCAGTACAAAAATGACAGGGATCTCCTGGAAAGAGTCCAGCAGAGGACCATGAAGATGGTAAAGAACCTGGAGCATCTCCCCTATGAGGAAAGGCTGAGCGACTTGGGTCTGTTCAGCCTTGAGAAGTGAAGACTCAGAGGTCATCTTATTAATGTTTATAACTATCTTAAGCGTGGGAGTCAAAGGGACATGGCCAACCTCTTTTCTGTGGTCTGTGGGGACAGGACAAGGGAAAACGGCCATAAACTGGAGCATAGGACGTTCTTCTCCAATACCATGGGAATTTCTTCATACTGAGGGTGATGGAGCACTGGAACAGGCTGCCCAGGAAGACTGTAGTCTCCTTCTCTAGGAACATTCAGACCAGCCTGTGCAGCCTGCTGTAGGGGGCCTGCTTTGCAGGAGGGTTGGACTTGATCTCTAGAGGTCCCTTCCAACACCTGAAATTCTGTGATTCTGTGAGGCTGTACCCATGTTAATTGCCCAATTGTTAACTGGCATAATTGCCTCTTTTATAGTTCTTCTATCAGTTTGAATATCTTGGATCTCATATTGTTTTATGCAGTTGTGTTTATATTGCAAAAGAAAATGTGGCTTACAGGGCAATGTCAGGGGCTTTAAGAACTTAGCAATCAACTAACTAGCATATAGAGTTCAAAATATTTCGTGTGTCATTGTTAATAAGATGGAGGAATGTTTCAGCAGAGTGGAACAGAAGAGGGAGACATTTTATTTTGCTTTGAAATGAATTGATAAAATATTCTGGTTTTGATGAGTTCAACTAGAATGAAGCTTTCAATTAGGGTATACATTTTACTAGTCAATAAATACTCTGAAGAGTAAAATACAATTTCTATTATTTTGTGACAGATATTTCAATGACTTTCAATTAGCACCAGTGGGTAAATGCTTAATAAAAAAAAATGGGTTTCATGAAAATACTGAAGAGGAATATATTTTCATACATCAAGGATGATTAACTTTGAAAAGTATTTTACAGAATTATGACTACAGCAATTTGTAGTTAAACAAACACAATGAAATACTTTCAAGTATTTACCTGTGCAGTTATCATTTCTGTAGACAAATGTGTCTCAAACTAAACTAAACTGGAAGAGAATGCGTTAAAGGTCCGGATGTTTGTAGCAAAAAAATGGTTTAGAGACTTCCAAAAATAGAAAGCAACAAAACAATGGAGAATGTCAAGTTTTGTCAATCTTTTCTCCTGACCCAATGGGGAGGAACTGATCTCTCTTGAAGGCCTTTCACACAGATGAACTAATGAATGAAGTAAATGAATGCTAGAGAGGGTACTGTAGGGCTTGACAGCACAGCTAAGTGGATAAAGTACTAGGTTGTAAGAGCTGGTGTTACCACATCCTCTATTCACATGATGCTATTATTACACCTGATGCCAATGGCAGAGTTAACAGTACCTCTACCTTATGTGACTTGGCAAGAATCTAGCTTGAGATTGTTGTAGATGCTTTTGTTTAAGGCAGAAATAAATGAACCAACCCTTACTTCAAATTATCTCACTGGAGAGAAGACAACACTACTTTTATATTGGACTAGAAGACTTCGAAGGCAGCTGGCATAAAATTTCATTCAGTATATTCACAAAAGTTATTAAAGTATTTCTCCAGATATGTCAATAGCTAAGTGACGGGCAGAATTAAATACATTATCTGAAGCTCAAAAGTAATGATGTCCATGTCACGAGTTTATGATTTTTGTTATCAGTATTCCATATAATAACATCATGAAGTGTACTGAGAGTTAAAGACTTAATGCTCCAGTTCCATGAATTGTCAGTATTTCTGGTTCTCAGAAGAGAATCACAGAATCACAGAATGGCCTGGGTTGGAAGGGACCTCAAGGATCATGAATCTGCAATCCCCCTGCCACACGCAGGGCCACCAACTTCCTCATTTAATGCTAGACCAGGCTGCCCAGGTCCCCATCCAGTCTGGCCTTGAACACCTCCAGGGACGGGGCATCCACAACCTCTCTGGGCAGCCTGTTCCAGCACCTCACCACTCTCTCTGTAAAGATTTTCCCCCTGACGTCCAACCTAAATCTCCCCTCCCTCAACTTAAAACCATTTCCCCTCATCCTGCAGTTATCTACCCTTTCAAAGAGTTGATTCCCCTCCTGTTTGTAGATTCCCTTTAGGTATTGAGATGCTGCAATGAGGTCACCCTGCAGCCTTCTCTTCTCCAGGCTGAACAAGCCCAGCTCCCTCAGCCTGTCCTCATAGGGTAGGTGCTCCAGTCCCCTGATCATCTTTGTGGCCCTCCTCTGGACCCTCTCCAACAGCTCCCTATCTTTTTTGTACTGGGGACTCCACACTTGGACGCAGTATTCCAGATGGGGCCTCACAAGAGCAGAATAGAGGGGAACAATCACCTCCCTGTCCCTGCTGGCCACCCCTCTTTTGATGGAACCCAGGATACCATTTGCCTTCCAAGCCGCAAGGGCACACTGCTGGCTCATATTAAGTTTTTCATCTATCAAGACCCCCAGGTCCTTCTCCACAGAGCTGCTCTCAAGGACCGCTCCTTCCAGTCTGTATGGATGCCTGGGATTTCTCTGACCCAAGTGCAAAACTCTGCACTTTGCCGTGTTGAACCTCATCAGGTTCACCTGGGCCCATCCTTCTAGCCTCTCGAGGTCCCTCTGAATGGCATCCCTTCCTTCAACCATGTCGACCGCATCACTCAGCTTGGTGTCGTCAGCAAACTTGCTGAGGGTGCACTCGATTCCGTCATCGATGTCATTGATAAAGATGTT